GGCCGGGCGCGGTGGCTCACGCTTATAATCCCAGCACTTTGGGAGGCCGAGGTGGGTGGATCATGAGGTCAAGAGATCGAGACCATCCTGGTAAACAAGGTGAAACCCCGTCTCCACTAAAAATACAAAAATTAGCTGGGCATGATGGTGCTCACCTGTAGTCCCAGCTACTCAGGAGGCTAAGGCAGGAGAATTGCTTGAACCCAGAAGGCAGAGGTTGCGGTGAGCCAAGATCGTGTCATTGCACTCCAGTCTGGGTAACAACAGCAAAACTCTGTCTCAAAAAAAAAAAAATGTATTACGTTCTCAAAGAAGGGGACATACCATACGTTACATGGGCCATATGGGGAAATACCAGCCTGAGTCAGGAGACTGGAGAACCAATGGCGGAGCAAGACCCAAAGCCTTTATTGTGGTTTTCTTTTTTTCTTTTTCCTTTTTGAGACGGAGTCTTGGTCTGTCGCCCAGGCTGGAGTGCTGTGGCGTAATCTCAACTCACTGCAACCTCTGCCTCCCAGCTTCAAGCGGTTCTCCTGCCTCAGCCTCCTGAGTAGCTGGACTACAGGCACGTGCCACAGTGCCTGGCTAATTGTATTTTTAGTAGAGATGGGATTTCACTATGTTAGCCAGGATGGTCTTGATCTCCTGACCTCGGGATCTGCCTGCCTCGGCCTCCCAAAGTGCTGGGATTACAGGCGTGAGCCACCGCGCCCGGCCAGTCTGAATAATTTTCAGCTGGCTTATAGGTGGTCTCCCAGCAAGTACCTTGCCCCAAGGTGATTGAGGGCAAAGGAAATACTGGCTTAGTATGTGAGAATTAGATAAAGGAGGCAACTGGGGGTATGGACGTTGGACTGGTTGATTTGTATATGAAAGACACACTGCCAAGCAAGTTTGCTATCTCTAGGAATTAGCTAACCCTGGGAGGAGCAGCCTCCAGGATTAGCAAGGCCCAAGATATCAAAGCATCATAAAACAGAAAACAAAAGTCATGATTAACACGAATATCCAGGAAGGTCTTGTCTCGTAAATGAGGAATAATTAGCCCAAGAGTAAGCAGCGGACCTGCATAGCAGTCATAAAAACAACACATTAAAGCATCAAACTGTTTTTCCAGACCAACTAAATGTATCTGAGAACAAGATTCAAAAAGATTCGTAGGAATATAAAAATGTCCAGTACCCTCCAACAGTAAAATTCACGACGTCTGGCATCCAGTCAAAGATTACTAGGCATGGAAAGATGAAGGAAAGCACACCACATGAGAATAATCAAGAGACCCAAAACTACACAGATGTTAGAATTAGCAAAGAAGGTCATTAAAATTATAACTGTATTTTACATATTTTAAAAGGTGAGCAGATTTTAAAAGAACACTCCCTGATTTCAAGAATTATTATAAAGCTGTACTGAACAAAACAGCATATTTCTCAAGTTAAATAAATAGATCAAATGAACAGAGTAAGAGTCTGAAAACAGGCCGGGTGCAGTGGCTCACATCTGTAATCCCAGCCCTTTGGGAGGCCGAAGTGGGCAGATCAACGGGGTCAGTAGTTCAAGACCAGCCTGACCAACATGGTGAAACCCCATCTCTACTAAAAATAGAAAAATTAGCCAGGCGTGGTGGCGCATGCCTGTAATCCCAGCTACTCAGGAGGCTGAGGTGGGAGAATCGCTTGAACCTGGGAGGCAGAGATTGTGGTGAGCCAAGATCATGCCATTGCACTCCAGCCTGGGCAACAACAGCAATATTCTGTCTCAAAAAAAAAAAAAGTCTGAAAACAAATCCCCACATGTATATAAAATGAGTTGTTGCAAAGGCACAAAGATAATGCACTGAAGAAAGGATAGCGTTTCTAACAAATGGTGCCAGAACAACTGGATTTCCATATGCAAAAATCCCCCAAAACTTGGGTCTGTACCTCACGTCATACAAAAAAAAAATAATCCTGAATGGACCATAAACCTTAAAACCTACAACCATAAAACTTCCAGAAATGAAACCCTAAACCTTGGGTTAAGCAAAAATTTAGAATCGAAAGTACCAACCATGAAAGACCAAACATATATTAGACCACCCAAATAAACTGCTTTCCAAAGCCACTGTTAAGACAAACCACTAACCACAGAATGTTGGCGAAGCTAAGTCTAATAAAGGATGTGTATCCAGAATATGTAAACAATTCACAAAGCTCAATAATAAAACGGGGAAAGAATCTGAACAGACTTGAGAAGATACAGATGGCAAACACGTGCATGAAAAGATGTTCACATCATAGGCCAGTAAGGAAATGCCAAATTAAAGCCACAGCGGTTCTACTACACACCCAGAACAGCTAACATTTAAAAAACTGACCATAGGCCGGGTGCAGTGGCTCACGCCTATAATCCCAGCATTTTGGGAGGCCCAGGTGGGTGGATCACGAGGTCAAGAAATCGAGACCATCCTGGTCAACATGGTGAAACCCCGTCTCTACTAAAAATACAAAAATTAGCTGGGCATGGTGGTGCACACCTGTAGTCCCAGCTACTCGGGAGGCTGAGGCAGGAGAACTGCTTGAACCCAGAAGGCGGAGGTTGCAGTCAGCCGAGATCACGCCATTGCACTCCAGTCTGGTTAACAACAGCGAAACTCCGCCTCAAAATAAATAAATAAATAAAAAACTGACCATGCTATGTGCTGTTGAAGATGTAAAGCACAAGAACTGCCGTGCACTGCTGATGGAAATGTAAACTTGCACCACTACTTTGGAAAACAGTTTGGCAGTTTCTTAAAACATTAAAAATACATGTGCCTTATGATCCCGTCATTCTACTCCGAGGTATTTATCCAAGAGAAAAGGAAATACATGTCCATGCAAAAACTTGTACATGAATTTTCATAGGACCTTTATTTGTAATAGCCAAAACCTGGAAACAACTCAAATGTCCATCAACAGATGAATGGATAAATTGTGACATGCCCGTCCAGTGGAATACTCAAGAATAAAAAGGAGCTATTGACACACCAGTGAGTCTCAAAATAATTATACTAAGTGAAAGAAGCCATATAGAAAAGAATACATCCAGCCTGGAGTGGTAGCTCACGCCTATAATCCCAGCACTTTGGAAGGCCAAGGCGGGCAGATCACTTGAGGTCAGGAGTTCAAGAGCAACCTGGCCAACATGATGAAACCCCATCTCTACTAAAAATACAAAAATTAGAGGGGCGTGGTGGCAAGTGCCTGTAGTCCCAGATACCTGGGAGGCTGAGGGAAGAGAATTGCTTGAATCTGGGAGGGGGAGGTTGGAGTGAGCTGAGACTGCACTCCAACATGGGTGACAGAGTGAGACTCCACTTCAAAAAAAAAAAAAGTATAACCTATATGATTCCCTATATCCCAAAATCTAGAAATGCAAACTATGGAAACAGAAAGCAGATCAATTGTTTTTGGACGGCAGTGGGCAGGGAGAGGTGGGAGGGAGGGATTACCAATAAGCATGAGGAAACTTTTGGGGTGACAGGTACATTTACTATCTTGATTGTGATAGTGGCTTCATGGATAAATATATATGGCAAAATGTATCATATTGCACACTTTAATCTTATAACGCTTGGAATGTCTATTGTGTTTCAATTCTTCCTCAATGAAGGGTTTTTTGCCTTTGTTTTGTTTTTTTGAGATGGAGTCTCACTCTGTCATCAGGCTGGAGTGCAGTGGTGAAATTTCGGCTCACCACAACCTCTGCCTCCCTAATTCAAGCGATTCTCCAGCCTCAGCCTCCCTAATAGCTGGGACTACAGGCACGTACCGTAACGCCTGGATAATTTTTGTATTTTTAGTAGAGATGGAGTTTCATCATGGTGGCCAGGATGATCTCGATCTCTTGACCTCATGATCCGCCCTCCTTAGCTTCCCAAAGTGCTGGGATTACAGGCGTGAGCCACTGCGCCCTGCCTGCAGGGTAATTTTAAAAAATAAAATATTATTTTTAAAAAACATATATAGTGCATAGTTGGAAAAGAAAATACTAGTTTTCATGGGTGATCTCTAAGTGGAAGAAGTGCATTTTCCTTTCCTTCCATCTCCCAGAGAAAAACCTCTGTGCTGGGTTGATATCAGCAGCTGGAATCAGTTGCCCAAGACTGGATTCTCAGGATGAAGACTGTCAGCAGAGGCTGACCTTTCCTGCGGGCTCATGTCCTAAAGCACCTTATTTGGGCACAAATATCCTCCCTTTTAGGACAGAAAAGAAGTTCTCCAGTCTTGTGGAGCACAGTATCTTTTCTACATATTTCCTTTTGATATTCTCAGCATCCCTGCAAGGCAATCTGAAGTGTGAGGAGCCTCAGACCCAGGGAGTTGAAGGCAGGCTGCAAGAGTTGGATGCAAATGCTGCACCCCTGGGCCTGGGCTGCCTGGGTTTTACAAAGCCTGGGAAGTGCTACCAAACCCATTCCTCACTAGTCTCATAATCCTGTGGGAGAGCAAAGCCCACATCATCATGGCCCCCCGCTCTACCTACCTGCAGATCAGAAAACTGAGGTCCATGGGGGTTGTCAGGACCTGGTTTTACTCCAGGGACAATGAGGCTGGAGGTCTGTTCCCTATAGCGGACCATGATGGTCCTCCTGCTTCACATGGCCTCTTTGGAAGGGGCTTGCTCATTTACGGGAATCCTGGGGTCGAACAGCCCCAGTGACAGCCCCTGGGATGGCTACAGGAGAGGCAGCAGCATGCAGGCGTTAACTAACATCACAGACTGACACCAGGCCGCCTGGGCTTACATCCTGGCTCCTCCAGTTCCTGGCTCTTTGACCTTGGAAAAGTCCTCTTTCTTTCTTTTCTTTTCTTTTCTTTTTTTTTTTTTTTTGAGACAGTGTCTTGCTCCATCACCCAGGCTGGAGTGCAATGGTGTGATCTCGGCTCACTGCAACCTCCGCCTCCCAGGTTCAAGCAATTCTCCAAGCACCCACCACCACACCTGGCTAATTTTTTGTTGTTGTGTTTTCACTAGAGACAGGGTTTCACCATGTTGGCCAGCCTGGTCTCAAACTCCTGACCTCAGGTGATCCACTTGCCTTGGCCCCCAAAGTGCTGGGATTACAGGCATGAGCCACTGTGCCCTGCTGACAAGTCCCCTTAACCTCTTTCTGCCTCACTCAACTCACCGGGAAAACAGAGCACCTATATCCTTCAAAGAAGAGAATTAAAGGAGTATAAGGCCATCAGAACAGTACCTGGCCCAAGGGAGGCTATGGAAGTGCATGTTAAATTTAAAAAATGGCTTCATCTCTGGCCTAGTACCAAAGATTTGGGTTCCTGCCATTGCCACCCAGAGAGTCCTGGGTGGAGGCCCTGCTGACATTGAAGAGTGCCTGCCCTGCTCCCCTCAATGCGGTAGACACTTTCCAAAACTTACGTCATCCTCACTCCAGTGGGATAATGGGAGGCTTGGTGTACCTCGTTCCCAAGATGAGGGAACAGGCCCCAGGAGGACCACATCACCAGCAAGTGACAGGCTGGGAACAAGTCCAAGCCTGTCTGCCTCCAAGACTGAGCCTGAATAAGGACCGGCCAGAGTACAGCCCACCTGCTTCCTCCTCCGTCTAGAGCTTAGGCTGGAGCTGTCCTAGCCAGTGCTCTCTGCCCTACCAGCCTGCATGAGCCACAAGCTGCCATTTCCTGGAGCTCAGTGGCCCTGTCCTAGACAGCCCTGCTGGAGGTCATGAAGGCCCCGAGAAGGCTGTGAACACCTGCATGGTGATGAGCCCAACCTTCCCACTTCTCTTGATCCGTTTCAGGCTCTGACTCCGCTACAGCATCGTGTGCTTCTGTCTGAGAAGCAGAGAGACTGAAAGTATCTGCTGCCGCCTGGATTCTCCCAGAGCTTTCCTGGGACACCAGCTCAGGTCCTCGCAAATCATCCTGGTAGGAATCTCTCAGAGCAGTGATGGTGGAGGGTTTGTGGGCTGGCTTAGTGTTGGGCAGGGTGTCAGGAGGGCACAAGGGACCGGAGAGCTTGTCGTTTCTCTGACAGGACTTTCAGGGAGCGCTCAGCTGCCTGCTTATGTGACACGTTTACCAGCTTGCCTGGCTGGCTCTCATAGTTTTGATTTAAATAATAGATTGCTCACACAATAAGTGCATGTTGATTTAAGCTTTCATTTTCTCACAGTCCTTCTCTCTGCTGGCCCTTCCCACCATCTACCCCATTTTGCCTTACTCTGGGGAGCCTGAACCCCCTGTTCCAGAGTAGGGGCATAGAGAAACACTTCCATGGCTTCTGAGCTGCTGGGCAGGGCCAGTCCTTAAAACAAGGAGAGCTGGGAGGGGGCTGGCCCCAAAGATCGGGTGTTGAGAGCTGGAAGTCCTATTTAACAGAGGGGAGAGAGCAAACTCTGAAAAGGGAAGGACCTGGTCAGGTCCCACAGCAAGTCAGGGGGCCGAATGGCGATCTTCAGTCTCTCCAAAGCCTTTGGGCAAGGAGGCTGCCTAAAGCAGTGAGATCAGTGGGGCCTAAGGAAAATCCTTTTCCTTACTGCCTCTCTCCCAGTGGGACCAGACACCATCCTGTCCTCAACCTTCTTGGCCATCTCCCTTCTGTCCTGAGAGGCTGTAATGCATCTGGCCAGCCTGGGAATGTGCTGGAATTCACGCATCACGGGGGATGGATGTGCCGCTCACAGTCCCCTGTGGGCCAGGGCTGTGAGGGAAGATCGGAGGTGGTGGGCTGGGGTGTGTAGGCCCAGGAGGACCCCGCCTCCTCCTTAGCCTTGGAGCCTCCCTCTGCTGCTGAGTCTCTCATCTAGCAGGCCCCCACTGTGCCCACACCTTACGTCCTGGCTCAGCATGCGACTTCCTCACTCTGGGCCTCAGTATCCCCCCTGGACATCTCTAAATTCCTTTTCTGCCCATCTCCTGGTTGAGCTGAACTGTAACTCCCCACACAGGGCCGAGGGTGACTGTGGCATTAGGCTTCTGGCTGGGAGCCCACTCTGATGGTGCTTGGGAAGGAAGGGAGATAGTACCCCATGACAGGGGCAGCCCTAAAACTACTCCTCCCCCAAGACCCCTGCTGTTGGCTATGCCTACCTCCACCCTCTGCATGCTCTCCCACATAGGGACCCCCAAGGCCTGGAGGGAAAACACAAGCACTTTGCTCTGGCCTGCTGAGTCTCCTAATTGCACAGAGCTGCCCCTCACCAAGTACAGGAGAGGCCTGGGGCTGAGTACTGGGGGTGGCAAGCAGCACTGTACCCTGTGGGAGGCAGGCACCAAGTCTTCCCACTTAGTCGGCTGTGGCCCCTGCTTCTGATCTGTGCAGCCTCATCCCCAGCCCAAGGGGCCCTGGTGGTGAGACTGGCAGCCTGGGCTCAGACATGAGCTTGCCGTGGGGTTCCATGTAGAACTTTGCTCCACCTGGGGCTCCCCGCCAGCTCCTTCACAGCTCCCCTTCTCAAGGAGCCCAAGCCCTGCCCAGATGTGAGGGCCTGCTCCCTGGAGGCCTCCTCTAACTCTCCAGCACATGGGGATGGACCCAGGACCCCCACACCTTGGACTCCATGGGAGACCTGCCCAAGGAGCACCTGGGGGAAGGTCAGTGTGACCTTGGCCCCTCCCTTTTGGATAGACAAAACCACCCCTTCTCCCTGCCCCAGCACCAGGGCTGTTGCTCAGTGACCCTGAGGTTGGTGATGTAGAAAAGTACAGGTGGGTGTCACTCTTTATTGTGGGGTCCACACTGTGGGTGCTGGGGCCCCTTCCACTGAGGGAAGGCTGAGACTCTAGCCGGGGCTGGCCATCTGGCCTCCTATGAGTCCATTCTCCTTCTGTCCCCTTAATCTCAAGATGAGAATTTGTACCAGATTTCTGGGACCTGTGAGTCCTCCTCGACCTTCATCGCCCACTATCCCATGTGCTTGAGAGCATCGCAAGTCAGTAGCAATGAGCCAGGTGGGTGGTGTGTCACCTGGCGCAGCAGACCTGTGGCTCAGGTCCCAGCCCAGCAGCTGTGGAGTCCCAGCTGGAGGCAGGGGTGGTAGTCCCGGCCACACCGCCCTCAGGCTCAATGTCCAGGCCCTCGTAGATGGTGGGGAGTGAGGTGCGCTGGCTCAGCCGCCGGCGCAGGCCCACCAGCAGGGGCTGGGGGAGGGAGGCCACATCCACGTTGTTGCCCAGGTCCACCCAGGCCAGTGCAGGGAACTTGGTGGTGTCCTTGATGGCCTCGGTGAGCTCGCGGGCAGCGGCCCGCGTCAGCCGGTTGCCGTTGAGCAGGAGCTGGGTGAGGCGGGGCAGCACCCACAGGCTGGGCAGCAGCAGGTGTAGCAGCTCGTCACTCAGCCCTGTGAAGCTCAGGTCCAGCACTGCCAGCCCAGTGCCGTGGCTGCCCAGGTAGTGTGCGACGTGCTGCATGTCCCGCGCCGACAGAGGGATGCCTGAGAGGTCCACAGTCTCCCCTGCCAGCGGAGACTTCTGAAGGCTGCTCTTGAGGCTATGGGAGGGTGGCAGGCGGGGATGAACTAGGCAACCAAGCAACTGAACTCTGGGCTGAGCCTGTGTGTGAGGCTCCATGGATGGAGTCACTCCAGGATGGAGTGTCTAAGAGGGACCCACAGCAGAGTGAGCTACTGGACAGCCACCGCAGACACCAACCACAGACAGTGACCTGTTGGGAACAGCCCAGGCCTACAGTCTGGCAAAGCCAGGTTCAGACTCTTTTTTTTTTTTTTTGAGACGGAGTTTCGCTCTTGTTACCCAGGCTGGAGTGCAATGGCGCGATCTCAGCTCACCGCAACCTCCGCCTCCTGGGTTCAGGCAATTCTCCTGCCTCAGCCTCCTGAGTAGCTGGGACTACAGGCACGCGCCACCATGTCCAGCTAATCCTTTGTATTTTTAGTAGAGATGGGGTTTCACAATGTTGACCAGGATGGTCTCGATCTCTTGACCTTGTGATCCACCCGCCTCGGCCTCCCAAAGTGCTGGGATTACAGGCATGAGCCACTGCACCCGGCCCAGTGGCCACCACTTTCTAAGTGGGTGGCCATGGCAATGCTTGGAGCCTGTTTCCCCTTTGGTTAAAATGGGATGTGATGGTTGTGAGGATTACATACACACACAATAAGACTCCATCTCCATGAACTTTTTTTTTTTTGAGGTGGAGTTTCACTCTTGTTGCCCAGGGTCAAGTGCAATGGCATGATCTAGGCTCACTGCAACCTCCACCTCCCGGGTGCAAGCAATTCTCCTGCTTCAGCCTCCTGAGTAGCTGGGATTACAGGCACACGCCACCATGCCTGGCTAATTTTTTATTTTTAGTAGAGATGGGGTTTCTCCATGTTGGTCAGGCTGGTCTTGAACTCCTGACCTCAGGTGATCTGCCCACCTCGGCCTCCCAAAGTGCTGGGATTACAGGTGTGAGGCACTGTGCCCCACCCTCCATGAACTGTTATTTGAAATCTCATGGTGTGCCCAGCAGCTCCATACCTGTTACAGCTGCCATCTCACTTACTTTTCAGATAGGTGAAGTAACTCTTCCACGGTCACACACCACTAAGGGGGGAACCAGGTCCCCAAACTGAGACGCTCTGACTCTTGAGCCCACATGTTTTTTTCCTGTGCCCCTCTGAGGTTGATTCTTTTAGGGTAGGGAGAAATTCTTCTATGAAGGGATAGATATTAGGCAGTACAGGGTGCCAGGGCTAGAGAGGGACAGGCGCAGGGTAGTGCAAGGGGAGATCCTAGGTGTGCAGGGGACCTGCCCTGTGGAGGGCTCCCTGTGTTCTCAGTTAAAAGGGAAGTTCAGAGACTGAGAAGGACTCTCCCCGTGTGGCTCCAACCCTCTAGGTCTCTCCCGTTATCTGAACAAAGCCCACTAGGCAGATAGGCCTTCTGGGGGACTGAGAACAGTGAGCACACCCCGAGGACCCCCATTTGCCATGTCAGGGAATAGCCTTGTGGAGTCCAAGCACAGCGTGGCCCACTAGGCTCAAGGTGGGACAGCGGTGGCAGGCAGATGGGGAGACCTCATGAGGTAAGCTGCTGGCAGCAGTTCAGTCCCCTGGGCCTGGGTGCCTGTGGCCAGCTCTGGGCTGAGCCTGTGCATGAGGCTCCATGGATGGAGTCACTCCAGGATGGAGTGTCTGAGAGGGACCCATGGCAGAGTGAGCTATTGGGCAGCCGTGGAGGCCTTGGCTTTAGGCAGCCTGGCAGTGGCAAAGAATTCCCAACAAGGTACAGGAAAATCAGGTAGAATGCGGCCTTAGGCAAGCCACTTTACTTCTCTGAACCTCAATATTTCCTTCCCTGTAAAATGAGAATCGTGATCCAGAATCTGCTCCCCCTGCAACCTGATGGGAAGTCTCAGCTGAAGATGCCTGCTGAGGTCACCTCGGCTGGTGGGTGGCTGGGGTGTCCAGGCCCTGTGACAGGCCAGGGATTGAGGGACACATGAATGGCAAGAGGCAGGACTGTCCCATGGGAAATGGCAAACTGGTCATTCAGAGGGTACAGCTCGGCTTGGGGACCATCTGCTGCCACAGGCCAGGCTAACTTCCAGGATAGGGCCTTGTGCGGACCAGGCGAGGGCCTGATTAGGTGGGATTTCAGTACCCGCCTCTTGGTGAGAGTGCAGGTGTCAACCTGAGAAGGGACCTTGGAGGGGCAGAGAAGAGGGGCAGTGGCTGGGTTCCCCTTACCAGCTCTGGGTCTTCCTTGGGCGCAGGCTGGACTCCTGCTGCTGCTTCGAGTGGGGGGTGAGGTGGTAGATGAGCTGTCGGCAGATCTTGTCCGAGGACTTCCAAAGCTCATAGTCCTGTGGGAGGGCAGTGTCACCATGATGAACCTGAGCCCCTCCTGCCCACCTCAGGGCCTTGGGGAGAGGGGCCTGGGCAGCCAAGTGTGTGTGTGAGCACAGCTGTGTACCATGGATC